AAGGCATTTAGCAAAATATACAATGGAAAATCTAGACATATTGCTTTAAGACATGAGTACATAAGACAATTAATTTCGGATGGAATTATTACTGTTGTGTACATCAAGTCTAAAGACAACCTTGCTGACCCATTCACTAAAGGACTCGCGAGGGATATGATAATAAGCACAACAAGTGCTATGGGTCTAAGGTAATTTAAATTTGTCACTAGTAACGGGAACCTTACCTTTCTTATTGTTCAACAATATTAAAGGTTTAAAAGGTAATAACAAGTTATAGTTGTGACGGATAGCAGGTACTGGAAATTAGTACCTAGAAAAAGAGGATGAGTATAAAAAATACTCTTAGTGAAGAAGCAGAGTTCGGTTTAGGAACTAAAGAAGTCCGTGTTAAGGATTTGGTTAAATCTTCACCTATGTAAACACAAGAAGTGGTGCCGCTTCGATCAAAGTTTGGGATACAAAACTTGATAAGTGTTTATGAATTCAGGAAGTAGCACAAGGCCATAATTGGGTGCTAAAACTCACGGTGAACAAATTGTGAAGTTGGTACGATTTATGTGTATAAAGCTTTTCCGTCTTGTCAAATAGGAATTGTGGTTTAATAGAACTTAATCGAACCATCAATTTCGACAAGGTCTTGAATAGTTTATACAAGTAGTAGGTTTAAATCGAAAGATACCTACTATACGCATGAATCTTATAAACAACATCAATCACTAACTAAGTGGGGGATTATTATATTAGTTAGTGTTTTGATGGGAGTATTTGAAAAGAGGTTACTTTTGTTTTAAAAGGTGCCTATTGGCAAAGGATGAGTCTGTTAATCCTAACAGACACCTAAAGGGTTTGAAAAGAGGTGACTTTTGGTATTAAAAGGTGCCTATTGGCAAAGGTCGAGTATGTTAGTCCAAACAGACACCTAAAGGGTTTATAAATACCCTTTTCTTCTCCAAAACAAAAATCATCAGAAAAGCAACAAAGTATCTTCTTCTTTTCTGCTATCTTCAATTCACCAAATTTTTTAAGTGGAAATTCCAGTTAATTGCTGGTGCTCGAATTTCAGAGGCTTTGTAAAATCCTGGAGGAATTCTGCCATAATCCTGCAGCAACGAAATTGGGAGGCTTAAATTCCTTAAGGACAGTGACTACACTATCAAAGCCTAATTATTTCGTCCCTATATTATGTTATATTTTCTAACAGTGGCAGTTGCTTGGTATTTTGTTTCTACTATATCATGTAATTTTGCATTAAAAAATAACCACATTTTCTTAGTAAATTCTTGAATAGGCTCGGTTAACAGCTAGTTCTATGGGACTTTTTTTATCGTCTTCCTCCCTGTTTCATTGTTTCTTTCAATATTTTAAATTAAACTGTTGATTGATATTATTAATGTGACAGTGGCCACGGAAGCTCCAGCAGTTCCTTCACCTCCTGTGCCATCAAAGGAGTCAAATGGAAATACTCTTTTGCAATTATCGACGAGCACATTTGCTCCTATGGTACCATTGGGATCAACCAATGATCGGCCTTTGCTAATTCCTTGTGATGAAGAGGAAGAACAGAGAGAGACAAAGTTAAAGCTAAATCCTTTATCACGACTGAAGCAACCAAGAAAAGCACATACTGGAGTAAATGAATATTCTCCTCAAATGGATGAAATTTCGAAGAAAATGGTTATTGATGTCAAGTCTATGTTGGTGTCTAAGCTCATTTATGGGACGAGTAACGTGAATGACATGGTTACTTTTGCCAATGGTGCTTTCAGCACGTTGAATTGGCTCGGTGCTGATTATAGTTGTTTCTACAAAGCTGTGGAGGATTTGATTTCTCATAAATATGATTTGCAAGTTGCAGAGAGAAAAGGAGCTATGCTGACTTTTTCAGAATTGGAGAAGAAATATGAAGAGGTTGTTATTAGTGCTGATGATCTTGAAGAGACGATCATTTGTACTCAAGCTAAACTAAAAACGGCCAAGGAGAAAAAGGAACATGTGAAGAGACAAATTGAGAAGGGAGAAGAAGTAATCCATAGATTGAAAGAAGTGGTTGCTCATATTGAACATGATGACGAACATCTGAAACACGATGAACAAAAATATAAAGCAGCACATAAGACTGCACAAGTCGAGGTAGAAAAACTTGGTGCTCAAATGGAGGCAGCTAGAGTAATGCAGAAGGAAATTGATGAGTGTAAGAATGCAGCTCTCGAAGGCATTTTATCAGCCACTCGACGCCTTCAGTGTATGGATTGAGCTCCTCATCATACCTGCAGAGACTATTTTGGATTGTTTTCTGATTTCAGTTGCTCTAGGCTCTAGCAACAGACAGCTCTATGTAGTAGGATTCTCTTTAAATTTCTTACAATTTGAACTTGTAGAATGATCAGATTGCTTTCTTTTACTTATCAACTTATTATTTCGCTTTTTGTTGGTAGTAGGTTTTTATGACTAACCGTTGGCGCAATCTCGCTTTTTGTTGGTAGTAGATTTTTATGACTAACCGTTGTTTTCTTTCATTGTTGATCACCTTACTATCTTGTTGTCTTTATTCTGCTTTTTTATGACTTTTTGGTGCTTGTCCCTTCTTGTCTCTATTTTATTGTGGTTCTTATGCTTTCCTGAGACGAGGGTCTATTGGAAACAACCTCTCTATCCTCTCAAGGTAGGGGTAATGTCTGCGTACACTCTACCCTCCCCAGACCGCATGATGTGGAATAATAATGGGTATGTTGTTGTTGTTGAATATGACTCTTAAAATGTTTTTTGTTTCAAGGGAATATCCTGAACTTGAATGAATTATCAGTAAACTGTATTTCTGTCACGACCCGGATTTCCACCATCGGGAGTCGTGATGGCGCCTACTAGTGAAAGATAGGCAAGCCAACCAATTGAATTATTCACCTGGTTTCCATTTTTAATTCAATAACAATTTAGAATCAACAATTAATAAACAACATAATTTAATAGGCGGAAGACTAAATTTCAAATTTTAGTAGTGCTACCAATATCAGTCCATAACAATCTACCCAAGACTGGGGTCACAACTTCACAGACTGTCTAAGAGTACTACAAATAAATGTCTAAAAGAAATAATACAACACTGTCTATGGAAATACAAGAAAGAAACAGGAAAAATAGCTAGAAGGAGACGCCAAGGCATGCGGACGCCTGCAGGACTACCTCGGGCCGCCTGATGAACGCGAAACAACAATCTCACTGCGGTCCATAATCTACAGCACTGGGATCTGCACAAAAGAATGCAGAATGTAGTATCAGCACAACCGACCCCATGTGCTGGTAAGTGCCTAGCCTAACCTCGGCGAAGTAGTGACGAGGCTAGGACCAGACTACCAAAAATAAACCTGTGCAGTTAAATCATATACAGCGGAACAATACAAGCAAAAATGTACAGCTAAGGATGGGAGGGGGAAACATGCTGCGGGAACATCGAATAATAATAGAAGAACAACGAATAAATGTAAGGATCACCACAATTCAATTGAAGATAGGAAGGGGGATCATGCTGCGGGGTACAACCAGTATCAACAGAAAACCAACAATTAAATGTAGAGAAACCATAACTCAGTTATCAATAAAAATCAGGAAATCAATGACAAGTGCACGGCATCACCCTTCGTGCTTTAACACTCTCTCACCAAAACAATGCACGGCATCAACCTTCGTGCTTTAACACTCTCTCACCAAAATAATGCACGGCATCACCCTTCGTGCTTTACACTCTTCCTCACCCAAGCAACAATCACAAAGCAATTTGGGCAAGATAATCAATAACATCACAATAACATCAAGTAACAACAGGAAATCAGTAAGTAAGCGTAAAAGAACACCATAACTCAATTACTAGTAAAATCAGGAAAAAATCAAGGACAAGTGCACGGCATCACCCTTCGTGCTTTTACTCTCGTCCTCACCATGAAAATCAGTATAATTGGCACGACATCACCCTTCGTGCTTTTACCTCACATAATCACTCATATAAAGGCACAGAATTGTACATCGTGCGGCACGACATCACCCTTCGTGCTTTACACTCTTCCTCACATAAACGATGCACGGCATCACCCTTCGTGCTTTAACACTCTTCCTCACCTAAACAACAAGCACAAACAATAAGGGCAAGGAATCAAATAGAATCACAATAAAATTCCGGCAAGGGAACAACATCAATATCAACAACATCCGGCAAGGGTACAATATTAAAAGCAACAACATCCCGACAAGGGAACAATACTTAAAGCAACAACGTCCCGACAAGGGAACGATACCATAATCCTCTTCTCTTTTCACATTTAGTTCACCACTCGATTCACAACTTGAGCCAATGCTCTATAAGGTGCAATTGCCAATTATTCTTTCACAATTCACTTCACAACTTGAGCCAACGCTCCTCAATGTTCACATATCACCAATTACTTCCACAAACTTTGCCCAACAATAGAAATCATCACAAAGAGGCATGCACAATACAAACAGAGTCATAATAATCATAATATAAGACTCACGGGCATGTTTGACACCAACGTATAGATACTCGTCACCATGCCTATACGTCGTACTCAACAAATAACACATAGCAAATAGGACACAACTCCTAATCCCTCAAGCTAAGGTTAGACCAAACACTTACCTCGATGCCACGAACACAGTTCAAGCCTCAACTATCGCTTTACCTCTTGATTCCACCACCAATTCGCTCGTATCTAGCCACAAGTTACTTAATTACATCAATAAATGCTAAATGAATCAATTCTAATGCATGAAAATAAGTTTTCTAAAGTTTTTCCCAAAAAATCAAAAATTGACCCCGGGCCCACATGGTCAAAACCCGAGGTTCGAACCAAAACCCGATTACCCATTCACTCACGAACTCAAATATATAATTTGTTTTAAAATCGGACCTCAAATCGAGGTCCAAATCCCCAAAATTTGGAAAACCTAGGTTCTACCCAAAATACCCAATTTTCCCCATGAAAATCATTGATTTTGAGTTGAAATCATGTGAAAAGATATTAAGGATTGAAGAAAACTAGTTAGAAATGACTTATAATTGATTTGGAGAAGAAGTTTTCTTTGGAAAATCGCCCAAGAGAGTTTATGTTTTGAGAAGATATGAAAAATGGCTGAAAATGCGTCTAAGTGTGGATTTACAGGTCTCTGATGTCGCAATTGCGACCAGGGTTCGCAATTGCGAACCCAGACTCTGCTATGTTCGCATTTGCAAAGTGACTTTCGCATTTGCGAAGTCGCTTTTGTGATAAATCTGTCGCGTTTGCGACACTGGGGAAATCCGGGACACTTCGCAAATGTGATGGCCCTTTCGCATTTGCGACATCGCATTTGCGATAACAGTTTCGCATTTGCGACCCCAAGGCATGCCAGGTCTCTTCGCATTTGCGATGAATTCCTCGCATTTGCGAAGTCGCATTTGCGAGCCAAGCTTCGCAAATGCGAAGCCTGCAGACCTGCAACATACCAGCAAACTCCTAAGTTCAATTTCACTCCGTAGCCTATCCAAAACTCACCCGAGCCCTCGGGGCTCCAAACCAAACATGCACGCAAGTCTAAAAATATCATACGGACTCGCTCATGCATTCAAATCACCAATATAACATCAACAACTATGAATTTAGCATCAAAATCATGAAATCACTTAAGAACATCAAACTTTCTAACTTTCTCAAATAAGGTCCGATTCACGTCATTTCAAGTCCGTTTCTTACCAAACTTCACAGACTCAACTTAAATCACATATAAGACCTGTACCGGGCTCTGGAACCAAGATACGGGCTCGATACCATCAAATTTCAAACACATTTCATTTCTAAAAACTCATATATTTTTCAAAAAATAATTTTCTTTAAAAATTCATTTCTCGGACTAGGGACCTCGGAATTCGATTCCGGGAATACGCCCAAGTCCCATATTTTCTTACGGACCTCCCAGGATCGTCGGAACACGAATCTGGGTCCGTTTGCTCAAAATGTTGACCGAAGTCAACTTAAATTTATTTTAAAGGTAAAATCCATCATTTTTCACAGTTTTTCATATAATGGCTTTCCGGCTACGCGCCCGGACTGCGCACGCAAATCGAGGTGAGGTAAAAAGGAGGTTTTTAGGCCTCGGAATAGTGAATTTATTTCTAAAACAAGTGATGACTTTTTAGGTCATCACAATTTCAGTATAAAGTTTTTTTTGTTGCTTTGTTAATCAACCTTTTCTTCATAATTTGTAGGTTGTTCTTTAGAGAAAGATTTTTAAATTGTTGATGTAAAAAAAAGGAGAAGAAAAGAAAAAAGAAATGATAGTAATGCTTAGAGCTCAGTTGCAATACTTTTTGGTGTCAACAATAATCTTGACCAAATATTTGAAAATGGAGTTAACAATGTTTGCTTTGTTTTGAATGGAAGAATGATCAAATCAGTTTTGCTAGGCTTGTTTTAGCTGTTAACTTTGTTTCTAATGAAATTATAGTATAAGATTAATGAAAGATATTAATTGATAAGTTTAAATCATCTTGTGTTATTGAGAATCATGTTAATAAGATACTAGTATGAGTCTTTACTAGTACTCCATTCTTTATGGCCTAATATGTGTGAAAAGTCAACTTTTAGAAAATTTACGAACTAAGAAATTCTGAGATTTAATTTGAAAAAATATTGTCTATTTTTATCTAAAAGAAGTGTTATATACTTGTATAAACTTGCTATTAAGGTAATGTGGAATGAGTGGAGTCCACATGTCAAAAATTCTTTGAGAAACAAAAAATCTAAATTTACCTTTCAACTTTTGATGATGATTTAAAATTACCCTCAAGTGGAGTTGCATTAGAGCTCAAGAGCAAAAACAAAAGAAAAAAAAATCGATACAAAATTGCTTAATTTTCAATGACATAGGAGCAAATTTGACCATTTTTCCAATATAATATCACATGCGATTTGATGTGGGTGTCCAAAATAAATTAGAGATGGATGGACTATAGATGGGACTAGGGAGTTGTAAGATTATGTTTTGTTTAGCTGGGAAATTTGTAAAATCTGAGAAGTTGTAGTTTTTATTATTGAGTGATAAATTGGTTTTTTCACGTCTTTCGCTCCATGGGGCAATCAATCATCGTATCATCATACTATAAACCTTAGAGTATAAGTTGAAAGACCAAAATATCCTTCAAAAGTTAAACGACAGTTTTATCCTTCAAGCAAATATTAATTCAAGAATATTTTATGCATAATGTAAATATACATCTAATAAAGATAACACCAAAGGAACAAGTAAAAAGAAAGTAAAATACAAAGAAATAATAATGTGGCCGTTCAGATGGCCATAAACTAAAATTTGTTTAAAGCTTTTTATTTGCTCTATTAATTAGACGTAATGGTTGGACTGTTATAAGAACCTTAACAGTCTC